ATGTTACTGTGGGTCGAATTAGTGTTTTATATATTCTGAGTTTACCTTGTCTAGAAACGTATTTTGAGTTCAGTAGGTCTCTTAAACTACCTAATTTTTTATTCCCTTTTGCTATTCTGGCTTCTAGCCCCCATTTTTTTTTCATTTTCATCGAAAACTACACGCAGGCATTCAAATTTGTCTACCCTTTTAAAACTATAGATTTTACCACTTACAGGCCTCACACTAAAATCTTCTTTTTTCCCTTCTGTCACTCACATGATCATATATTTGGTTTTGTCTTCATTTAGTTCCAATCCCAATTTCTGTGCTTCTTCGATGATTTTCTTCACAACTCTTCCTTATTCTTTCTCGGTTTTTGCTACGATCGTTAGATCGGCAGCAAATGCCAAGTACTGGTGCTTATTTTTCATGATCGTTTCTTTCACCTTCATGTTGCTTTTTCTAATTACAGTTTCTAACACTAAGTAGAATAATGTAGTGGATTAAGGATCTCCCTGTCTCAAGCCTTTTGCAACCGTAAATTGATATGATTTGTGACCCTGCCACGTAATTTCACACTTAGAGTTATTTAATGTCATTTTTACTAGCCGGATCAGTTTCTTTGGTATACCCAAATGTTCCATTGCTTGATACATTTTGACTCTATCGACTCTATCATATGCTTGTCTAAAATACACAAACAAAACATGCAGGGGAACTTTACCTTCATAAAAAGTCGTTTTTATCTCCTTTATTGAGAAGATTTGGTCTACAGTAGATCTGTCCTTTCTAAAGTCGGCCTGATGCTCATGTAGGATTCTTTCCATGTAGCAATTTAGTTTATTTCTCAACATTCTTGCCAAGATTTTGTATACCGTGTCTAGTAAGGCTATACCTCTATAGTTGTCACACTTTAGTTTGTCTCCTTATTTATGCAGAGGGCATATGCGGGCTTCATACCACTCCGATGGCATTATTTAATTTTCCCATACTTGCACTAGTAGCTGATATATTGTTGGGGATGGGGAACAAAGAAAACAAAATATTATGTTATGCAGACGACGCCGCATTAATCGCCGAGACAGAAGACGAGGTCCAAAGATTAACACATATCTTCAATACAACAGCTTAGAAATACAATATAATAATATCAGCAGAAAAAACCAAATGTATGTCAACATCTAAATACCCACTACGGTGTAAAATCAAAATTGATGGAAAAATAATAAAGTAGTAAGCACGGTTTAGATATATGAGAAAAGAATGCAGTCATCAGAAAAACAACCAACAAAAAAAATATCTATTTTTAGGACTCTGGCGAGAGGATACAGGTGCCAAGCCACTTAGTTAAGGACAATATACACCGGGGTGTGTGGAGGCCATATATACCCTGCAATGCACACCCCAACACACCCACACAAATTAGCATGTAAGAATAAAAGGGTAAGGAAGACCCCCAAACCCAAAAAAAATCGGTTGTTTTTCTTTTAAATTCAGAACTTTAAAAATCAATTTCAATTCATTAAACGTTTTAACGTAAAATTCATCCTATTTTTCTATATAGAAGGCCCGTCAGGCCTTCCATATACCGCTGATGCGGATTAGGCCCTTAAGGCATATCAAGTCAATGCTGATCCTTTTCGCGACACCCGAGCACTGAAGTCATGTGCGGCAAGCATGGGCTCGGTGGCCGGACACAATTCGGGCGCCCAGCCGGCGAGGAGAACAAAATTTACTTTTGCCAAATCGGCGGCTGAGTGACCGAGCACACACTTTTTTCCGGACATGAAGTCGACAGCCCAGGCTGTCGGCTTCATGGACGGAACACACGCTCTTTTTCTTTTTTTTTAGGGACTCCAGTCCCGAAGTGAAGTTAGAGTAAAATCTATAGAGTCAGTAAAGTAAATAGGGAGAAAAGCCTAGATGTGGCTACCCCTACAGTCAGGTGGCATAACCACAGTAATTAAAAACAGGAGGTGTCTCATTACCCAGGGCACCTCAAGTAACTTTCAGATCATAAGCCTCCTCACGTAAGTCACACGATGAGGAGGGTTGATCTCTTAGCGTGATTGTGTGTGTGTGTGTGTGTGTGTGTGTGTGTGTGTGTGTGTGTGTGTGTGTGTGTGTGTGTGAGATATATTGGAATAGCTATAACTAGTTACGGAGATGTTAAAGAAAAAGTACGACAACAAAGCTTAAAATCAAGTAAAGCGGCAGGTTCTCTTAATGACAATCTGGAAGAACAAACACGTAAGACAAGACACAAAAACAATAATCTATAAAGCAGCAATTAGACCTATATTAACATACACGGCGGAGACAAGACCTGACACATCTAAAATGAGACGACTGCTAGAAACAACAGAGATAAAAATACTCCGAGGAATATTAGGGAGAAGTCTGTTGGATAGGGAGAGAAGCGAAAACATAAGAAGAGCATGCAATATAGAAGACATAAATGGATGGGCGACAAAACGAAAGTAGGAGTGGAATGAACACATTAGTAAAATGGCAGAGGATAAGATAGTACAAATAGCTTGAGATAAGTCACAAAAGAGACGAAGAAGTATTGGCAGACCAAGAAAAAGATGGTGCGATAACTTAAACAATTTAGGAGGCTAATATTGACAAAAAATAGGCTTTAAAGCCTACATACTAGAAGGAAGAGGAAGAAGAAGCATCCGTTCATTGTTTTTATAATTATTACCTAGCTACAATAGCACTAAGACTGTGCACAATGTCTTAGTTCTGTTATTCAAAAATTTATTAATTTAAGCTGTATAGTGTAAAAAATTGTTGAAAGGAGCAACTTGTATCTGTATTTTAATTATATTATTACTTACCTAAAGCGCCAAGACGATAGTTAAATGTTACTACAATGATATTGTAGTCTATCAGATGAGCAGCTCCGTATCTATGAATAGTACCGTCCCAAATAATATACCCGCCGCCATGTATCCATGCATATACTGCCAACTTAGCATTTGGATCTGGTTTCTAAAAACATTTCAGGTTTGAGATGATTTTTTACTGAGCTTAAATATAAAAAAAAGGAATAAAAAGTATTGGTACAGTTGGTATTAACCAAATTAAAAAAGCAAATTTGAAGGGCAAATTTGAAGGGATTCAACGAAGTTTAAAGACATGAAGCATTAAAGCGTAAACCTGGTTCTTCTGGCCTTTCGACATATGAGCATAAGCGAATTTATTGCCCCTAGAGTCTGACACCATTCAAGGGTGGCACGTTACTGCTGCTGCATCCTCCCCGTAATCTGAGATAACCCCATTAACTGAGATAACCCCATTAACTGAATTAACAATATTTTTAACTGAGTCAAAGTTATATTGAAAATATCAAAATCACAGACATTTAATAGGCCCTTGTATCTATCCAATGGGTTGTGGATACCATAGATTGTTCTGTGGAAAGGAATATTGAAAACATTGTTGTAACGTAGGACTTGATGGGGAACATTAAAGTTAATTCTCGTTTTAACAGGTTTGGACAATCAATAAATACATGTATGATCTTATATATAAATATAGCTCCTAATCACGACGGTTTTTAAGTGAGGGTAAAGACAATTGTTGTTCTATACAAGAATAATCATGATTTTCAATAGTAGTGTGGACATACTAAGCACAATATCTCAAAAATTTATGCTGGACTCTTTTTATGGTATTAATATTGCTCTGAAAATAGGATGACCAAGTAACTGAACAGTATTCCAAAATAGTTCGAACTAAGCAACAATACACTAATCCTGTTAAATCAATGGAGAAATACTTGCAATTTCTAGTAACCAAACCAAGAAGTTTATAAGATTTTATTGAAATAGAGTTTATGGGATCACAGAAACTAAACTTCTCATTGAACATAATACCCAAATCCCGAATGGAAGAAACATAATTTAGTGACTGATTATTAATAGTATAGCTTGTCCCAATTCTGTTGACTTTATGAAAAAAACTTACAAAACAACATTTTTTTACATTTAAGTGGAGTTTGTTCTGATTTCACCAATTTTGTTTTTGTCGGTCTAAGTGTTCTTATAGCAAGGCTTAATCTATTAAACTATCTATAACTTTACAAAATTTCAAGTCATCTGCCAACATTAGACATTTGCTAGTTAGGAAACAGGAAGTGATGTCGTTAACGAAGATATTAAAAAGAAGTGGAGAAGTGTAGCCTCCTTGATGACAACCTATCTTGACCTTTTGACTTTTCCCAGATGTAGAGTTTTTAATTCATTCATCAAACCTGACATGAAGGCCTACATTAATTAGTTTGCCCAAAAGTATTTTGTGATCTACACAATAAAATGCTTTGGAAAAATCTGGGTATATTGCATCTACCTGTTAACGGTCTTCCATATGAGATAATATATCAGATTGATAGAAAACCAAGTTTGTTGCAGTGGATTTTTTGCTAGGAAAACCATGTAATTAAGATATTAAGCCATTATATAACCAAGAAAGTTGCTTTGCTATAAGTGCTTGGGGATTGCAGTTTGTATACAAATGCTAGGATAATTTTTAATATTGTCTTTCTGACCATTTTTAAATATAGGATATATTATATAACATAACTTTCTTTCCATGAAACAGGAAACATAGAGGTTTCTAGAGATCTACTAAACAATATAAAAAATGGTATTACAAGGGTAGAGACAAACTTTTTCAATAAAGAATTAGGCACTTCATCTGGACCAGCAATAAGCTTATTGGCCAGCTCATTTATGCCATTAAAAATAGCGGTCATAATAATTTTAGAAGGAAAAATATTTGTACTAAAGTTGCTATTTAATGGATGGATAGTATGTCAAGGTTTCTGTAATTTGGTAAATTGCTGAAACAAATTTTAGACAATTGTTTACGTTCAGCTCTTAGGTGTAAAAATATAATATAGTCGTCATTAGAACGATTGTTAAGATAAATATAGTAAGCATTATTTTTTCCAGTCAGTCTTCTACGATTAGCAGCACATGGGAAAAGTTGAAGTTCTATATTTCTTCCATGGCAAAGTAAGCAATTCCTATAGAGAGAATTTCATAGACTAATTTTGTAACAACTTCAACATCATTAACCATAGATACCTGTCAGTCTATGGAAACAAGGAAGTTGTTAAACGTAATGTAATCGTCATTTGGAAAATCATTAAACAACTCATCATAAAGCAACTTATGTCTATTTAAATCAATATAAGGTTGAATGTTCGAATAAATGAACTTTGATGGAACACAAGGCAAATATCGAACACAGTAATTAATCAAATCTTGCCCAATTACTTTCGATCACAAGATCATCCTCAGGGGCATTTCGTCAGTTGTGGCCTATCCAGCAGTAACAGAATGTCATAAATGTAAATTGGGATATAACAAATACACTAAACAAAGACAAGCAAACACTTTAAAATTTAAAAATTGGAGAAGCTACATTTTATATAGAAGCCGGAGACAGCCTGTCTCCGGCTTCTTAAAACAGGGTTACAGGCTAGAGGGCTACTTAAAACAGGGTTAAAGATGCAAACCAATACAAAGATAGTAATGACGGATTCGTTGAACGTTTTACGGTGCCTATTTGTACAGAGCATAAATTTATGACGTATGCGTTAAAAAGGAACCAATAAAAAGGACTCCCAAAAACAACTACCATGTGTAAACGGGCCTTTAGGGTGGGATTCTCATCCTGTACAATTAATACAATAAATTGTAGCTTGATCCCATATAAAAATAATATTTATTTCTCGTCTTTTAAATATTTATTTATAAGTACCCAGTGTCATTTACTTTTTAATATTAAACATTGACGCACAAGTTTCTTATAACTTCCCATACACTAAATTAGATCTATATCATGGTATAATATTTTTTTTGCATTATGTGTGTAACGTAATTTTTTGTCATTATTATTCTTTCTGCAGTTCATTTTAAATTCAACGAACATTTCAGGACATTTATTAGAATAATAATTTAACGTTTACGACCTAATCATGTTGGTTTTGTCCTTGATTTTTTTTATTTGAGGAAATCCCTAAAAAAGTATTTTTGGGGTTGCACGAATTATACATGCAAAACAGTTTACTTATTATATTAATGACTGATTTCATATTTTTTTAGATATAGACAAATGTTTTCCAGACAAGTTTTAAAAGTTTACCTTGTTTTAATTTTTGTTGCATTTTATTTTAATTTAAAATTTATTAATTACTACTAAACTGAGAATAAGCCACAATTAAAGATAAAAATACGTTTATTGACGTTTCAATTTCCACTTCGGAAATCGTTCTCAAAATACAAACAGTAAATTAAACAAATTTTGTTTTTTGTTACATAGTGAAAAATTCTTCTAATAATTTAATTTTATATGACTCACTTATATTGACAATTCAGACATACATTATGCATTTTAAAGTAGACGACTTTAAAATGATATTGCCAATATTGTTGAGTTGCGCTCCTGGGACGACTTTACTTATAAGATAGTTTATTCGATTACATGAAATCAACTTTACCTTGAGAATATCCGTCAGAAAAAAATCATAGCATGTAATTCGTCTTTAAAAAGACAAACACACGACATGATGACAGTAAAATTCTCCTGTTAGTGATTCCATAGTAAATTATGAGGGAAAAACCAGGAAAAAAACCTCATAATACTATCCCGACATTGTAAGTATTTGTTCGTGAATTTAGTTTACCTTCAACAAACATCAAAATTCTGATTTTATATGTTACGTTATTTAAAAAACATAAATGATGTATCCTCTATATGTTACTGACTTACTAATACTGGTATTTTCTTATTAATAACTTCCTCTTTCAATATTGGTAACCAGATCCTACTACATTCTGCCGAGGAATTTGTGACACAATTGGCCTCATTTAGCATAATTAGAGCCGCTTCTTTGATTTTTCTTTTTTGTAAAAATGACGACTCCATAATCATCCTACCAGCAGACAAGGGGAATGCAACTGTGATAATGGATAAAATTCAATACGAAAATAAAATTAAAGATCTATTAAATAAAAGACCTTATACAAAATTAACAAAAGATCCAACAAAGTCTTTGGAAAACAAAATATATAGAACTTTATTCAAGTTTAAAGATGTTTTAACAAGTTATCAGAGAGGATTAATTACACCTCATAATTAGACCCCTAATTTTTATGGAGGACCGAAAATTCATAAAACGAATAAACATACCACTTAGACCCATTTGTAGTACCATGAATTCTCCTTGTAGTGAACTATCAAAATTTTTATTAAATATTTTAAAACCATTTACAAATAAAAATGACACATTCATAAAAAATACACAACATTTTTTAAATAAATTATCAAATATTGAATTTAATTCAAATCATGCTTTGGTAAGTTTTGACATAAATAGTTTATTTACGAATGTGCCATTAAATAAGACTTTAAGTATAGTCAAGACAAAATTAGAGAGTGATGATTCATTGGCAACTAGAACAAGACTAAACATATCGGCTATAATGGAGTTATTTACATTATGTACTGATAATACATATTGTCAACTAAATAATGAATTTTATAAACAAAATTTTGGTCTAGCAATGGGTCCTAGTTTATCTCCATTCTTAGCCGATATATTTATGGAAGATTTTGAAACAAATATCATTTCTAAACAAAATTTCAAACCCACAGTATGGTGGAGGTATGTAGATGATGTATTCTCAATATGGCCTCATGCATCAGAGTTGTTGGACACATTCCTAAATGATATAAACGATAAAGAAGAGACAATAACATTTACCATGGAAAAGGAATATAATAACACGCTACCTTTCCTGGATGTTTTAATCTCTAAGAACGATACTGGATATGAGACTCAGGTGTATAGAAAACCAACACACACCAATAGATATTTAAATTTCAAATCAAATCACAATATTAATGTAAAAAAAGGGAATAATTAAATTCTTATACGATAGAGCCAAAATTACTTGTTCTAACGAAAATTCATTCTTGGAGGAGAAACATTTGTTAACATCTGTTTTATTAAAAAATGATTATCCTTTATCGTTTATAAATAAGGAATTTTCAACAATCGATCGAATAGAACAGAACAACTTAGAACGAGATCATACAGCATACACAAGGAATAATATAAGGAAAATAAGAATACCGTACATAAAAGGACTATCAGAAAAACTTAAAAGGATAGGAAATAAATTTAACATTTCAACAACATTCAAAACAACAAACACGTTGAGATCTATTTTGTCCAAAACCAAACCTAACAATGAACAAGAAAGGACAAAGAATTGCATTTATAAAATTCCTTGTGAATGCGATCAGTTTTATTTAGGTGAATCATTAAGGCCATTAAATGATAGAATAAGTGAACGTCAATGTTATATTAAAAATAGAGAATTTGATAGATCTCAAATCTGTAAACACGCATGGGATAATGAACATAGGGTTCAATGGAATAATTCAAATGTAGTCCTAAAAGAAACGGATAGTAAAAAAAGAAAAATCAAAGAAGCGGCTCCAATTATGCTAAATGAGGCCAATTGTGTCGCAAATTCCTCGGCAGAATGTAGTAGGATCTGGTTACCAATATTGAAAGAGGAAGTTATTAATAAGAAAATACCAGTATTAGTAAGTCAGTAACATATAGAGGATACATCATTTATGTTTTTTAAATACCGTTACATATAAAATCAGAATTTTGATGTTTGTTGAAGGTAAACTAAATTCACGAACAAATACTTACAATGTCGGGATAGTATTATGAGGTTTTTTTCCTGGTTTTTCCCTCATAATTTACTATGGAATCACTAACAGGGGAATTTTACTGTCATCATGTCATGTGTTTATCTTTTTAAAGACGAATTACATGCTATGATTTTTTTCTGATGGATATTCTCAAGTTAAAGTTGATTTCATGTAATCGAATGAACTATCTTATAAGTAAAGTCGTCCCAGGAGCGCAACTCAACAATATTGGCAATATCATTTTAATGTCGTCTATTTTAAAATGCATAATGTATGTCTGAATTGTCAATAAAACTGAGTTAGATAAAATTAAATTATTAGAAGAATTTTTCACTATGTAACAAAAAACAAAATTTGTTTAATTTACTGTTTGTATTTTGAGAACGATTTCCGAAGTGGAAATTGAAACGTCAATAAACGTATTTTTATCTTTAATTGTGGCTTATTCCCAGTTAAATAGTAATTAATTTACAATGCCACAAGAAAATAGCTTCAGAACAATATTAAAATTTATTGATGTATTGATTTTGCACCTGTATAATTGTATGTACCTTATTTTAAAAGCTTATTTTTGACGTATCTAAACTTTTTGATGGTTTTAAAATCCTAAATGGTTTTAAAACTAAACACAATATAAATCGTAAAAAATATTAGTATTTAATTATTATAAAAATACAAAATCGTGAATACACCAACATTACATGTAACAAATTAAATAATATCATAAGTTCAAAAAAATCCAGTTTACCAAGAGGTAAACGCAGTTAATATCTTTAAAAAATATAGTTATTTTACACAAATAAATCACCATTGTATGTATTTATGATCACAGTTAAAATATTTTCCCCGTTTTCTTTATTTTTTGCATAGGCCAAATTATTAAGCCCAATGTTTTTAAAGATGGATAAAATCTCCAACTACCTCCAATCATTAGACCGATAACGAACTTAACACAATTTCCTCGTTCAGTCCTCTTTAGAAAAAATATGGACGATACGGTCATATTAGCAAGTGACATGGAAGAACTACAGTACATAATACAACATATATACAATGCATGTGAAAGGTACGTACTGCAAATGAATCTCAAGAAAACGAAATCAAATGATATTCTCAAAACAAACACAAAATGTAGATAACCTGATCATCAATAATACAACGATCGAAAGAGTAACAACATATAAATATTTAGGAACGTGGCTAACCGAAGATGAAGATCAAACAAAAGAAATCAGATTTAGAATAGAAATGGCAAGAAACACGTTCGTAAAATTGAAGAACTTACTTTGCAACCGTAACCTTAATCTAGAGATCCGCATAAGAACGCTACGTTGTTACGTTTTTTCTACTTTACTATACGGCATGGAAGCGTGGACAATACAACAGTCTGAAATCAATAAATTAAACTGCTTTGAGATGTGGTGCTACAGGAGAATCAACAGAATATCGGGGACTGAAAGAGTAACTAATATAGAGGTGTTACAAAGAATGAAGAAAAATGTGAATGTGAAGTATGAGAAAGTCTATCAGAAATAAAAACTGTTAAAATTAGAAAGATTCAATATCTGGGTCCTATAATAAAGGACGAGAAGTACGTATTACTTGGGTTTTTTATGCAAGGGAAGATACAAAGAAATTTGAGAGAGTGGTTCGGTTGCAGCTCATTAGAATTATTCAGAAGCGCGGCCAATAAAATTAAAATAGCGATGATGATTTCCAACCTCCAATAAGAGAAGGAACCTGAAAAAGAAGAAGATTGTAACGATATTATTTTGCCTACGACATGGGGTATTATTACAAGGGATAGAAAATTGGGGACTGAAACTAAGGGGGTGGTGATAAGGCAAGCAAAATAATCGCTACTTGTGCGAACGGCACTCAGGGTTTGTTAGGAGAGCTAGGGTCGTGGATAAGTAAAAGATAAGATGGGTGGAATGGGACAACTATAAAAATATGAAACAAAAGGTTATGAATCTCTTGGAACAAACAAAGCAAAAAGAAACAGATAACACCTCTTAAGTAATTTAATATAGGGCGCCACTTAAGGTGCCTAATTATACCTATTACAACCACTAGTTGTTTGTAACTAGGGATAACTGTAACTTGTAACTAATTAAAAAACATCAAAAGCATATCTTTTTCAAATAAAACTCAAAAATGGGGTTAGATAAAAAAATAAACAAAATGTTAAGAAAACAAAATTTAACATTTATTTTTGGGTCATACCACAAACAGTTACAAAACAAATAATAATAACAAAACAATGTTGCTATCGGTTTACAACTCTAGACGGTGGGGACACCATAAGAACTTACATTATTAATAAATTGAAATCATCTAGATCTTTCAATGCAGTTTATGGTTTATAATGCAGTTTATAAAACAAATTCAAAATTTATGGTTAGTTATGTGTATAAGAATAATTATTATGACAATTAGCCAATCCCTAATTTTTATAATTTTACTTATTACAATTTTTCAACTTGTCATGAAAGCAATTATTGATGAAAAATGTCTATTTTTACTTAAAAAAAAAATTAACAAAAAAAGTACTTGATTTTACTAAATATTACATCTCCTTTAAAGGTTTTAGGGCTGGAACTAGTTTTCTAAATACTGCAAAATAACACAAATGCATCTCAAAAGCTTCAAAATGGTCTGGAATGACCAGGAACAAACAAATAGATGAAGGAAGTTGAAGTTGGGCTGGATCATTGGGCTTTGGGTTAAAAATTGCAATCTTCTAAGCTTGGCTTTTCAAAACTTCATTAAAAATACGATGGCCCCTTATATCGTTGAAACACCTTACAAATCTTTCATTTAGGACATATTACAACACATATATCTCTCCACAAACAAGTTATGTCGGCTTTCTGAAGATTACACGCCGAGCTCTTAGCTGCCACCACACTACACATTTTCCCATGACAAAAGACAAAAAATCGAAAAAAACATTACGAATTTGAAGAAAAATTCGGACTCCAATAAAACGATAAACGCTTTTGACAACGGTGTCACCGAGAGTCACGAAATGATCCTTAAAAATTGATCGCATAATTTAAAATAACAAAACACCTAAACGATGGTTGAAACGCAAATCCTTTATGAGAAAACGCAATTCAAGCAGTTCGAATAAAACATTAAAAAAAATACCGAAGATCTAACATCTGTAAAATATGAACAAACTGTTAAATAGTTTATATTCTTCAGCCGACTTAAGAAGGAATTGAAAACATATTAATTTGGGTTCTAATACGTACGAATAGGAAACAGAAATGTATTAAAATACTCTTCGATTTTTTAAACATATATGGGGGATTTCAATATATTACATATACGAGGGGATTCCAATATACACTAAAAAAATCAATGAAATGCAAATGCTACAAGATAGAAACACTTTTTCGGGTTAAAATACTACTGGCTTTTGAAAAAAAAAAAATCTGTATATTCTTTCTGGAGTGATAAGTGCATTATATTTTGTATATGTTTTTTAATTATCCTGAATACTTGGAAGGTGGGAAAAACTGATCAATGCCAGGAAAGATGTATTCAACTGTTTGAGGGTCATGCCAAAAAATTTAATATTTTTCATTAAGTACTATATTGTCAATATTATTATAAAAAGCGGTACTTACCACAGGTGTATAAACGTTAATAACTAAACAATCCTCACTTTGGGGTAAAGTAGTGGGAATTTGTTGATGACAAACTCTGGTATTGCTTGTAGCATTAATAATACCCTTCCAACCTGGATGTGCTTGAGGCACCTGTAATTGTTAAGTATAATGTAATATACAGTGTAAACGTTTGGGTTGAAAACCGCAAAATATCTTCTTTATATACCATTAAGACAAAAAGACTATCAGGACGACCATACATTTGTTTGTTTAAATAAAAACCTATATATTTTTTGTCAAAATAAAATATACAATACAGGTCTATGAACAAAAATATGTATCAACATTGCCCTAAAGTTAGTAGTTTTTGATGTACAAGGCGTTAAAATTAAAAAAAAAAATTAGTTAACAGTTTCAAGAAACTTTTTTAAATGTTTAATTTTTAACAGCAAAAACAAAAGTATTGACTATTTAAATAAAAAAGCAGTATAAATAAAATGCCGAAATTAAGTTTCTCTCACTTCTTGGCAATAAACCAACTTTCGCTCGAATTCACGCATCATGTTTGTAAGTACCAACTATTTCCTTTAGGTCGTCGATTGTATTGGATCAAGTAACACATACTTCTGATTTATAATATCCTTACCAAAAAAAAACTTACCGGAGTTAGTTCAGAAGAATTATCTGACTATTCTATGATGCCAGTTTTCCCAATTCATTGATTTGTAATATTTTGTTCAAATAGTTCAAATAATTACGCATGGTCACATTATAATAGGAAGTACCACCTTTCCATTCAATGGGAGGTACCATATTTCCGGTACCACAAAGCTTTACATTGCTTTTATTTCGTTGATGCGTTACATTCATTTTTGTAATAATCAGCAGTGTAGTAATAATCAGCAGTGTAATAGGGTAAGTTTTAAAAGTACTGAATAAAAATTTTCAAGCTGCATTAACTCCAGAACGAATTTTGGTAGTCGATGAAAGTATAGTACCTTATCAAGGAAAACTGCAAATAAAGCAATATCTGCCAAAAATAACACACCCGTATGTAATTAAATTATATGAGTTATGAACAGTTGATTGTTATACTAACAACATAATCATTTATCGTGGTAAAAATACGACTACCAATGCAAATACTGCCCAGAGTAAGCAGATGGTGTATGATCTTCTTGAACATATTGAATTCGAAAATAGCTACTATCGCTACTTGTATGCTGATAATAATTACTCGAGTTTACCTTTAGCCAAATCATTATATAAAAACTAAATAGTTTATTGTGGAACCCTGAGGTCCAACAGAAGAGGTATTCTCAAAACGGTACCTAAGTTCGGATGTTAAGCACGGATCCAACACATACAACTACTTTAGAACCAACATGAAAGCGAAACTGGCAACGTGAGTTTGTATTGAAACCAAAGGCAATTATTGATTACAATCAAGCAAGAAAAAGAGTAGACTTTAGTGATCAGATGAGTTCTTATCATTCCGTTTTAAGAAAAAGTATAAAATGGTACCGTAAACTAGCCTTTGAATTTTTGCTTGGAACATCTATTGTAAATGCCTGGATTGTTTATAACAAGTTAGTTGTACCACAAAATTATCTATAATGGAATTTAGAAGAAGATTGGCGCAGGAGTTACTTGTTACTAAAGCTGCACACGGAAACACCACTACTCCCAAAAAGAGTTCCACATACTTTTGTTAAACCGTCAGGACCTGAATAAATAAGGAGAAGACAATGCCAAGGATGCTATCATAAATTAAGAGAAATACATTCAAGCAAACAGGCAAGTATTATGGTGACAAAAGTAACAAGTTACTGCACTGAATGTCCTGGATAACCAGGAATGTGTTTATCTTGCTTTCATAGAATTCATAAAAATAATCTATTTTTCTGAAACTTTTTTTTTTTGATAACTACGAAAAAATCGTTTATTTTCCTGAAACTTTATGTTTTTTATTGTTTAATAACTAAGTATATAAATATTATTTAGTTTACATGTTTTTTTGTTTTCAAATATCATTTACACTAATAAAATATTAAGAAGTTTTGATCCTTTAATCTAAATCTGTAAAAATAGTAAGCTGTCTGGATACTTTAAAATATTCCTAACAGGAAACGAACGACAATGATCGGCTGATCGATTTTAAGTTTTAAAATGTTTTTACTGTTAATAACTGATCTTTAAACTCGTATAGTTTATATTATAAAACTGTAAAAATGTAAAAACTAATTACGTTACTACTGGTCTCTGACGGTCGGTAACGCACCGTGTTCGCGTCCAGAGTACGCACTGTTCTTTGGTTGACATATTTTGGGAACGCAGTCAACCTGATAAAACACATGTTTTATTACTTATAAAAGGTTTAATTCGTGGTCGAGTTTGTTTTTATTTAAAATATAAATAAAAATCTCTGGAATTTACAGCTCACAGAGTTTTTTTGTAATTTTAAAACAAAATTTTGAAAGTCGTTTACCTTATAGCGTAGTTTGCCTACTGGTGGTGCAGCATAAGGAATATCCTGGAACGCATAGTAAGTATTTCCTTTGGTACTTTGGAGAGTGTGTCCTCTAACTTTGCCTTCGTGACTAGCCAATTGAACAATTAGGTCGTCATTTTCTTTTAAATTTTTGTGGTCCTAAAAACAATTTCATTAAATACTACAGAAAAGTAATGCTATTTAAATACAATATAGTTTTCAACTTCGATCCTGCAATTCAAACAGTACTAAATCTCTACCGCATAAGAAATCTTTTATATTTTTAAAATTTTAAAGTGTTGTAGTATGCCTTATATCCACAACCCTCCAAAAATTCTGAATACATAGCTATTTATAGACCTCATTATACTACGCATTTGTATGTTTGGTTGCCTACCAGTCAAGAGACACAGCATTAGAAAAAGAATTAGAAATTAGAATTCTAAAACCTTATTCATTTGTACAAATGTAGCGAATTGATGGTATTTTATGTATGACTACAATTAAAAGCAATATTTTCTATCGAAATAATAAATTTGTTTGTTGGGAAAAATTTATTGGTGAAAGTAAGTGTTATTTTGTATTGTATAAATGTTTTTCTACATCGAATTTCACATTATTATCTAGCATTATGTCATTTATTATCAAACCATAAATGTTTTCTAATGCATTTAATATTTTAATATAATTTTAATCTTTATACTGTTTTTAGAAAAAAATTTATTTGGTTTTTGTTTTCAAAATATACGTTTATTCATATATAGGTTTACTGTATTTCTTGTGATGGAGAATTAAGGGAAGACAATTTAGGTTCAGATTCAGATAATGACGATAGTGATAGCAATGATTAATGGAATTTGGATAAAAATATACATATTTGCTCTGGTATAAATAGAATTGTCAGTAAAAAAAGAAACCTGAAATTTTTTTTATGAGAATCAGGCCATTTGAAGCATTTTAATAAAAGTGATTATGCATTGAAATGCGTTGTAGAGCTACCAGAATGTATCCTTCAGTTAGAAACTCCTGCAGATCTTTTTTTTGTTTTTGTTTCCAAAAGAATTAATGTCCATAATTGTTAAACAATCAAACATAATAGCTCTGCAGGGTAACATAAACAAACCGGCCAATGTTACCAAAAACGAAATGGAGCAATTCATAGGAACTGTAATATTTATGTCATTGGTGAAATTACCATTATCGAGACTTTACTGGAATGCAACTGTAGCTCAACCACAAGTATTTGAACTTATGACCTGCAATAGATGGGAAATTAAAAAGTAGCACCTTCATTTTATTGATAATAGTAACTCCGATCCTGTTGGTAATTCACGCCATGATAAACTGTTCAAAATTCGCAAAAAATTTAAACAACGCCTTTTATTGGTTTCTTAAGAGGAACATATAGCTGTTGACGAACAAATTATTCCTACGAAATACCGACACCACCTCAATCAATATAATCCGGCCAAACCTCGCAAGTGGGTATACAAAAATCTACTTAGTGCTGTATCATGTTTCAGTTATGACTTTGATATTTTTACTGGCGAACAAAGCAATACTTTGCAATACTACTAAATGGAGCGCCTGATTTAGAAGTCAGTGGAAATGTTGCCACTAGACTGATAGAGACAGTGCTAAATAACGTTAATCATAAAATATTTTTCGATAAACGGTTTAATAGTCCAAAATTACAGATTTATCTTAAAAAAAATCGATTTATGCCTTTAGGTACGGTTCGATTAAACCATATTTTAAATTTAGGAATCTCATCCATAAACTAACTAAGGAAAAAAGAATGTGGTTTCATTGTAAAGAAAGTTGCCTTGTTGAAGACGTAAACATTAGTCTAATAACTTAGCCGATAGGTTCGATAATAAGCCAGTAAATATGTCATCAACTTTCGTTGGTATTGAACCTGTCATCCTGGTTTGGATGGTGCTAGAAAGATAACCAATGGAGACACTGCGGACGGCAGCCAGATGGCTGGTGAAAAGCGAGTCGTGGGTTCGAAACTAGCTTTTGGAACCGGGATTGGGTCCAACGGACGAAATAAGTAAAGATAGGATAAGAGATATTAGAAAAGATATAGAAATTAACAAAAAAATAGATGGGTAAAATTACCAAAGGTAGGAGAAGATAGAAACAGGGCGCCACTCAATTTTTGGGGGTTAAGGAGAAAATTAAGAAACCTTAGAAAAGAAAAGAGATAAGGAAAGATATCCTTCAGAGATCAGAGATCAAACCCAAGGAAAGATACCAAAAGTTAATTATCAAATAAATTTGGTCGACACAATATATAAACAAATAATAAATATATTAGGTATTGCACTTACTTACCTACGAAACTTAATCAGCCTGATCTTTCTACTGGTCAAAGGTATAGTAATAAATTAATATACTAAGCAAATATTTAGAGCTACTATTTTATCAGGGATCTTGTTTGGAGCCGATAAATCAAATACATGCATAAAACATTAACAATATATTAAACACAAAATTATGATGCTCCTAAATGCAACACAAGAAATAAAAATACACAACTATGAAATGGTGTTATATATGTATAAAATTAAGCAATAATATAATAAAAAAATAACTTTACCAAGATATATAAGGCGATTATATACAAATATAGTTTGGCGTATCTCGAGATATTATAGGAAAGATAATGAGCAAAAATTATAGCAAATATAAAAGATAGCAAAAATTTCTTAACTCTAAATTTACAAAAAAAAATAAACAGGTTACAGAGTTGAAAACATTAACTAGCCAAGCCGCACTTAGCTAGGTGGGTTACTATGTCGCACTATTAATTAATGCTAAACTGAGATGTTCATAGTTATTATTTATGGAAAGTTCTTGAATTGTTCTTTAAATTAAATATGAAAATCGGCAATCTACAGATAAAGATATGGATGAATGATGGGTGATACGTCCAGATACTGGCAGGTGGTAGGATACCATACCATATTACTCGCCCAGATAATTTGCAGATAAAGATTATGTTAACTTACATAATTCCTGATGACGGCAGCTTAATTCACTGAATTTAATATACTGTACTGGTATTCAACACTGAATTTAATTAGGTACCATTAAAGGTAGTGTAGAACTATATATAACTTAATATAGTCTAAGACAAGAAAACTGAAATATAGAGTGTATACACAATTAGAAAATAATTCACAGAGACGATAATTTCAGGCAAGCGACCACACTCAACGAGAGGCCACCGAGAAGTCTAACCAGATAATCGACCTGTGCTCAACGAGAGCCCACCGAGAAGTCTCACGAGATAATCGACCTGTGCTCAATGAAAGCCCACCGAGAAGTAAGTTGGTTCCACTAAAAATTTCACCAACTATCCAAGAAAAAAGAAGAAGAAGGTATATCCCCCACTTAAAATCATCTGACAGTTGTAGGTAATTCTGGGGAAGTAAAAATTCCGAAAGTTTTGAGTTACTGGTACCAACAATTGGACATAAGAAGCAGACAATACTTGGGATTAAGTTATGGTCAAAAGATACGGGCATTCGGCGAAAATTATCAATTTATGTAAAAGAACCTGCATACCCAAAAGCATTAGATCTTTTTATACTGAGTATTAAGACAGAAAGGATTAACTACCTTTAGTAATTAGGGAAGTCCATTATAATTTAGTAGATCCAATATTATTTTCTTATCGTAAACACGTGAATTCCTAATCATCGGCGTATTGCACGGGGGTAAAAGAAATTAAAAATAATGAATATTTTAATAATAAAAAAAATGTTACAATGTGTTAGTTCCACTGCTGTTTTCGTTTTGTCACCTATCCGTTTGTGTTTTCCATATTGTACGCTCTTCTTATGTTTTCACTTCTCTCCCTATCCATTAGACTTTCCCTGATATTCATCAGAGTATTTCCATCTCTGTTGATTCTAGTAATCGTCTTGTTTTAGATGTAATTATTCTTGTCTTCGACTTGTATGTTAATATAGATCTAATAGTAGCTTTATAGATTCTTGTTTTTGTGTCCTGTCTTAAGTATTTGTTTTTCCAATTGTGTCACTGAGAGATCCCGCCGCTTTACTTGATTTTAAGCTTTGTTGTCGTACTCCTTCTTCAACATCTCCGTAACTAGTTTTGTCTATTCCCAGATATCTAAACCTTGATTCGTGCTTTATTATTTTCCCATCATTTTCGATTTTACATCGTAGTGAGTATTTAGATGTTATCATACATTTGGTTTTTTCTGCTAATATTATCATATTGTATTTCTTGGCTGTTTAGATATTGACGATATCTTCGGAGCTCGTCTTCTGTCTCGGCGATTAATGCGGCGTCATCTGCATAACATAATATTTGGATTTCTTTGTTTCCCATTCTGTGGCCATGACCTTTACGTACTGTTTGTAATATTTAGTTCATTATTATATTAAAGAGAAGTGGGCTTAAAGGGTCACCGTGTCTGACTCCGCTTTGTACTGGTATACACTGTGTAAGTTTTCCATTTATCTATGCCTGTATTCGATTATGGAAGTAGATGTTTTCGATTGTTTGTATAGTATTGATTGGTATGTTTCTTTTCTACAGTAAGTAAGTAAATAAGTTTTCTTAGTACAAATACGGCATCTTGCCAGGATCTTTCGGATCTGAATCCATGTTGTTCATGATTTTGTTGGTTAGAACTTGTGTGGTAAGATTAAGTACGGTGGTCAGTAGATTCATACCTCTATAATTGTCGGGGTCTTCTTTATCTTATTTCGTGAACATTGGTATCATTATGCTGTTTCTCCATACGTCTGGTATCTTGCAGTGCAACATTAGTTTTTGTATAGTTTTGTCATCTCTAGGTCCTGCGTATTTTAGAAGCTTGTTGGTTATTCCATCTGGTCCCAGTGATTTTTAATTTTTGAGTAAATTTATGGCTATTTTTACTTCCTAAAAACTGATTTCTACTTCGTGTCTTAATTAAGGTACGTTATTGTGTTGATTAGTATTTTCCTTTCCTTTAAATTGTTTCATCAGTATCTTTTCCATTCGTTTGCTGGTATGTTATTGTATTCCTTCATTTCTGCCATTTCTTTTCGTTGGTTTCTTACGAATCTCCATATTTGTTTTTGTGTACTGTAAAAGTCGCTTTCCATCCTTTTTGTAAACTGTTCCCAGTGTTC